CTATTTTTGGTGACCAGATGCTCAAATAATATATATTAATGAAGAAGAAAAATTTACAGGCCTGTGTAGTTAAGTTTTCCTGAACTGAAATTTATCCTATTCTGAATGTTTATATTTCTGAAGCATCTAAATGCAAACATAAATATTTCTGAGTTCTAGCTTTGGGATCAACAAAGGGAAGTTCAGTTGGGCAGTATTATAAATAATAAGCATGAAGATTGACTGTGGGATGAAATGAGCAAAATTTTCAATTATATTATATTAAACAAAATGCCAACTTTCATCATTTATTTTAGGTTACTTTAAATAGATAGGATTCTCCTTGTTTGTTATTTTTGCCTTCACATATTTATTTTGCTGTTAGATCTATGTAAGGTGCAAGAAAAGGGGGTGAAAATGAAGCAATGATAAAAGCATATTTTGTTACAAACCTAAAACAGAATTCCTGAATAACATGACAATATTGACATTCCATGCTAGACCTATCTTTCCTATGAGGAGTCTGTTCTGTTCACTGCAGAATGTTTATGCTCCTGGTCTCTACCTACTACATGCAGTATTTCCAAACCCCAATTTGAAAACCAGAAATGTTTCCACAGATTGTGAAATATCCTCACCACAGTGGGCTGGAGGGGGAAGAATCACCTGTGGCAGTTATTTGTTTAATTCATTGTGATTTTACCCTTTATGTGTTAAAGGAAAATTAAACATTACACTGGGGTTCAGTTGTTTCTTGGCAGCACTGGCCCAGAACTTGGAATCTAGAACTTGAGTGATAAGATTCCATGAAGTGCAAGCAGGTCCTGATTCTACAGCACTTGACCTGTTGATACTTGGATGGGAGATCCACGTTTCAAAAGAGAGAAACTTCAGCAAAAAGAATAAGTTATAGTAATAAAAAGGCCACAAGAACAAGTCTTTGGGTAGTGAGTCAGTATTCAGATATGCTCCCAAAGCTTAATAGTTCTTCATTCTTCAGTTTGAAGGATCTTGCCATCACAATCTCCAGGCAGGCTCAGGTGCCACCAGTGTTTGGATAAAAAATATCTAACTTTTCATTTCCAGGTGTGGATTATTATGTGATTATAGAATCAAACAATAACAAAATTTCACTTAGCATTGCTCCTATATATGGATTGTGTTAATATGCTTTCTGGGCTAGCCTAGGCATTAAAGAATTGAGACATAGAAAATGCACCCAGAAAGTCCAAATAATTTCTACAAATATCTATATATGTTCTAGTGTTTATATACTTGATTTTAGAATCATTGTCTTAAGTTATTTTTAATAAATTAACACTTTAGTAATTGTTACTGTTTTGGAAGTAAGACTTACTATGAAATATTGACCCTGATAAGTTTTGTACATCAAATTTCAGTTACATTTTATTGTCCTCTATAAAATAGGAGTAAATGTTGCTCTTTGATTTATTCTGCTATGCCCCAACTTTAGTGCCCTTTTCATCTGGATAAGTGGATAAAGATGGCCAAGTTTTATCCACATTTTATAACTAGTTGAATTAAAATAATCTAAACTTATACACATCTATGATATTCCTATATAATCTCATCAGGAAATCAAGAAGTTCACCTACTGGTTGCTCCCTCCTGCAATATCTTGAAACACCCATTGCGGCAACTGCCATCTGTGTGGCCTTATCATCTATGGTCAGTCTCTTGCTCCTTTTCCCTTCATGTGTCACTCAGATATAAGAGGTTCTGTCAATACTTTCCTTTATACAGGATGTTCAAATAAAATAAGTATGGAGAGGAAAAGAGGGAAATTTATACTTTACCTATAAGCATTCAAACCAGGAATTTGACTGATGATAGCAGGCAGAGAACATTAATCTTACAGGGAAAGATGCATTGAGTTTCAGACAATTTAGTTGAAAATAACTTGAAATGTAATCAGTTTATAAATGGAGAAGTAGTTGTTAGTTAGGAGTCATACATGCTATTGTAATTTACTTTCATGGATAAGCTGTAGAGTTGGATTCTACTAGAATTGTCTGTGGAGTTGCTTAATGCCAGAGTTGGGAGAAATGATTCTATTTTCTACCTTTGTGACTTTAGGCAAACTATTTACCTTGCATTTGTATCTGTTCTTTCATCTGTAAAATGAGGATATTGTAACTGCCAAATACCATTCTTAAAATCAAGAATGCTACAACACAAGAAAAGTCTAAAATAAAAGTAATGTTGTTGAATTGGAAATAGTAATTATTGAAAAACATTTTCAATATACAAGAAAAACTTTAATTTTTGCTATTAAGTAGCAATGAGTGCATAAGTGTGAATTAGTTCAGTCAAAGATGAAAAGAAAAAGAAAAAATAGTCTTAATCACATAGAAAGTGAGGTTGTTTATAAATGTAACTGAAATTCTAGGCTAAAATTAGAAACTAGAGGTGAATTACTGAGAGAGGATATTTTATAAATTAAAGATCTATGAGTTTTTAGTTTTATGTGACTTTAATATAGTCTCTGGGTAGTTTAATACCCAGTAAAAATGTTATCCTCTCCCCCCAAGAAATAAAAACAAGATAAAGCAAAACAAAGATATCACTTAGGCATGCCATGCATGTATATTTTTTATTTTGAAATAGCATGCCCTGTTGTCATTAGAATTGGATGTCCCAACTTCTCGATTTCAATGATTAAGTAACTGTTTATTACATTATATTACTTGACAATTTATCTTTCTATATTTGTATTTTTTGGTGATGTTTTCTAGTTGAGGCTGCAATGATTTACAGCATTGTATAGGACTGTATTTTTAAGCTTTTGTTGTGTATGCTATTGTAGCTGTCATTACTTCTACTAAAGAGCAGATTTCCAAAAGTTGGTAAGGGAGCATTTTATTTAGTGCCAGTTCTAAGTGTTAAGTTCTTATATCAGATAATAAGGCTTGCTTGCATAGGTGACCACATGAAAACAATTATTTCAAAAAAAATGTGTTTAAGATTCCCATATTGGTTTAATTTTGGTGAGTACTTACTTTCTATCCTTTCTGTATTCTTACTTGAATTTTCTGTGAAAAGATGCTGAAGGTCATCAGTCTAGATTTTGGAAACCACTGATGTAATAAGAAACTTAGTGCTAGAACTGATACTAAAGTCAGACCCCAATCCAGCCATTGTTTCCCACAATAAGCTAGGGTTACAGTTTATAAATCATAGGTCTTTCTAACATCCATATTTCCATGACAGTGTCAACCACAGAGGAGGTTCTTAGAAAATATTTGTTGAATGAATAGGAACTCAATTGGAACCATACTAAAAATATAGTTTTCAAAATCATAAGCCTGCTACAAAGTCAAATTTAAACATAATGAAACTTTTAACTAGGTATGGAAGGTTTATTGCCTAAATTTAATAATGAATGCTTATTACTTTTAAACATGTTCAGTCAAGTGACAGAATTTTTGCAAGTTATCTGGTTTGATGATAGTGGTAAAAATTCCTCAAAATATTTAGAAATAACTGATCCAAGAAAATACAAGGATGTTTAGGAAAAACTTGAAAGAAAAAAGAACACGTGAAACCAGTCAGAATATGATGTTATCAATAAAGGCACAAATATTCTCATATATAATGTGGAAATAATGATAGTATTACTGATTGTGCTTCCTGTTCATTAGTGTTACATTATCCAAATGAACTGAAAACTAGCAGATCACTGGGGAAGCCACAACAAATAAGAACTTGGTCCTTCCAAGACCAGAGGCTGTCAGTTGAAGCAGAGGTCATGGAAGTATCAGAGAATGATCATGTACATCTCTATTATTATTCAACAATGCAAACGGATTCCATGATCTCTGTGTCCCAGTTTCCAACATAAATGTAGTATAGGCTGAGGTGAGTACAGGTGATCTGTTGTTTACTTAAAGACCTTATGTCCTATTTCATTTTCTGTTTAGGCTACTACAAAATCATAGTTCAGCAATTTGACTCTTTCTTAAATTGTTGTAATACCCTTCTATCTAGGTCTTCCTGCTTCTACTTTTCCTTTTTTTAACAGTCCAGTGGTTTCTCAATAAAATTAGAACAAAATCTAAATGCCTTAGCGTGGCCTGCAAAACTTTGCCTTTCTGCTAGATCTCATTATTTGTGGCTCATGATTCGACCTCTCCCACCAATAACCCCAATTCCACTATCCTCAGTCTCCAAATACATTCATGCTATTTCTGTCCCTGGAACATAATTCATGACACTTGCCCTGCTGCTCATTCTTCCTGGAATTTATCCCTCGGGTCTCCAGCTGCCTCCTACTCATAATTTATGTCCTTATTCAAATGTGACCTTCTTAGACTTACCTCTTCTAAGTACTCTAATTGAAATAAAGCAGGCCTCCCCTTCCTCAGTCATTCTGTTTCCTTCATCCAGTTTAATTTTCTTCTTAGCATTTACCACTATAGAATTAATTAAACATTTATGTCTGAAGCCTTGTTTCCTTTTTTTTTTTTTTTTATCTTTTGCACTGACACGCAGGTCTTGACATATAGTTGGCATACAATAAACATTTGTTAAATGATAACATGAAATAACATTAAATGAAAGAATGACTGTTTTCATTAATGGACTCTTTTTAACCAGTATCATCCTACTATTCTTTCCTATGCTTCCCAGGTCCCCTAGTCTTAAGGCTCTAGCAAAAATTCTATGTCCTCTTTTTCATCTCCACTTTGGTTATTGCCTTAACTCCAACAGTTCTAACTGTAATTATGTCTAACTTTTAAAGAAACTTTAAAATAATTTCACTTGTCTTTGATGACAATTTGTTCTTTATAGGACCCGCTAGGAAATAAAAAAGGAAATTAAAAGGTTTTCCATGGTTTAAACTTTTTTTACTTGCAGGATAACTGATTCTCATGTACTCTCAAACCTCAAAATGCCTCTTTCATTCAGCATAAAATCTAGAAAGGGTATTAAAGTTAAACCATCTTTCTGAGTTTACATAGGTGATGACAGAAATATAATGTGTTTTGTTTTTCTTTCAGATCTCCAACTAAGGACATGGATTCAGAAGAGAAGGAAATTGTGGTTTGGGTTTGCCAAGAAGAGAAGATTGTCTGTGGGTTAACTAAACGCACCACCTCTGCTGATGTCATCCAGGCTTTGCTTGAGGAACATGAGACTACATTTGGAGAGAAACGATTCCTTCTGGGGAAGCCCAGCGATTACTGCATCATAGAAAAGTGGAGAGGCTCTGAGCGGGCTCTTCCTCCACTCACTAGAATCCTGAAGCTTTGGAAAGCCTGGGGAGATGAGCAGCCCAATATGCAATTTGTTTTGGTGAAAGCAGATGCTTTTCTGCCAGTGCCTTTGTGGAGGACAGCAGAAGCCAAATTAGTGCAAAATACAGAAAAGCTGTGGGAACTCAGCCCAGCAAATTATATGAAGACATTACCACCAGATAAACAAAAAAGAATAGTCAGGAAGACTTTCAGGAAGCTGGCTAAAATTAAGCAGGACACTGTTTCCCAGGATCGAGATAACATGGAGACATTAGTTCATCTGATTATTTCCCAGGACCATACTATTCATCAGCAAGTCAAGAGGATGAAAGAGCTGGATCTGGAAATTGAAAAGTGTGAAGCTAAGTTCCACCTTGATCGGGTAGAAAATGATGGAGAGAATTATGTCCAGGATGCATACTTAATGCCCAGTTTCAGAGAAGTTGAGCAAAAACTTGACTTACAGTATGATGAAATCCAGATTCTGGAGGACCTGAGTGAAAGTGACGGAATTGTACATCTGGAAGAACGACTAACATATTACAGAATGCTCATTGACAAGCTCTCAGCTGAAATAGAAAAAGAGGTAAAAAGCGTTTGCAGTGAGATAAATGAAGATGCAGAAGGCGCAGCTGCAAATGAACTTGAAAGCTCAAATTTAGAAAGTGTTAAGTGTGATTTAGAGAAAAGCATGAAAGCTGGTTTAAAAATCCACTCTCACTTGAGCGGCATCCAGAAAGAGATTAAATACAGTGACTCATTGCTTCAGATGAAAGCAAAAGAATATGAACTCCTTGCCAAGGAGTTCAATTCACTTCATATTAGCAACAAAGATGGGTGCCAGGTAAAGGAAAACAGAGGCAAGGAATCAGAGGTTCCCAACAGCTGTGGAGAAGTTCCTCCCTTTACTCAAAGAATATCGAACACATATACCAATGACACAGACTCAGACACTGGTATCAGCTCTAACCACAGTCAGGACTCAGAGACAACTGTAGGAGAAATGATGTTGCTGTCAACATAATTTGAATGGTTGTTTAATGCTGTCAATAATTATTTAATGGGAAATTGTATTTTAAATATTCCATTCTGAAAAGAATGTCAAGCATGTTGAAGTTCTCAGTAGTTAATAAAAGTCAGAGAAATTTGTAAGTTTGTTTTTGATTTAAGATTCCAATGTCACCTAATTGTTACAAGTTCAAACATTGAACTACTTATTCGAAATGCAGCACAAGTAGCTTGCAGATGTATAGCAGAGAAATAATTTGGTGGGAATTCTAATCTCCCATAACCTCGATGAGAAGTCATTTATACGAACTTAGAATGAATTCTTAATATTAGACAGTCAGTATATTGAAACTGCACACATGAAAAAAAATAATAGCATTTTCCAACTCAGGTTGGACTTTCTAAAGTACATGACAGCTATGATGTTATAACTGTATAAATTGAAATCTCAGTCCTTTTATTTGATACTTAGGTTGTACATCATCTCTGTCACTTCCTGAACATTTGTATTTGCACAGACCTCAGGAGGCAGAAAGGCTGCTGTTGAAACATGTACTAATAACAGCAGGGCATCAGATGAGGAAAGGTCAAGTGCAGCTTACAACAGCAATTTTTCTGAAAAGGTCTAAATGATTAAGAGATATGCATGAACTTCCTCTATCTGACAGTGCAAATCTTCTGATCAAACCAATGCAGGTTCATTCTTGAGTTAGTATGGTATGGGTTACAGAGAAAATCACAGGGTCACAGTCCTGTTGGTTTATACCCTATCTACAAAAATTGAAATGAGGATGCACGTTGGAGCTTTTGGTGTGGAGAAAAAAAGCATTCTGTATGCTCTTAGTATTTTGTCTCTGAACATACAGAGAAGAACTCACATGAACAAAAACCCTTTTATTTGCCTTTATTTTATTCTGCTATAGTATAATTCATGCAAGGCAAAAAGTCCAAAAAAAAAAAAAATGCTAGCTCTACTCCTACTCCTCCAAGTATGCTAGTAAATATCCAACAAATTGCATGAATTATTTAGATCCTATCCTGAGTGACACCTCTACAGCACTAGATTACACTTAGTATTACTTGCTTTTTAGAGCCTTCCTTTCTTCTTCCCTCTCTCCCTTCCCTCGCCTCCTTGCTTCTTGCCAGTGAACACATGACATAATCATATTGAAAACAATTAAGTTTATTGATTTTTTTGTACTGTTAACTGAATTCTGCTGCTGTTTGTTCTTTTCTTTAGCTAACACTTCTTGCATGTCTGTGCACATGTAAGAAATACTATTTTATTTTACTTAAAATCCTAGTATTTCTCATTCTTTCCCTTTTAGTTTCATGCACACTATACCACATTTTTCTCAGCTTCTTAATCTCATCTCTCATTTCTCCATGCTCCATATTTTTCACCCATCTTTGGGAAGATGGTTAGAATTTTCTTAGTATTTCATTTCAGGGGAGCATTTATGTTACCATTTACCAAGATATTGGTGAAGGCAAGAAAAACAAATTGGCAAGAAAAGTAGGAATTTCCTACTTTTTCCTACTTTCTGGGGAAAGTATAGTGATAACGAGTCAATAGTAATGCTATCATGGATTTACACTTTTTTAAGGGATTTGAATAGTCATCTGATAAAGGGAAACTTTTCTGCCGACTATTCCATTAACTCATTTGGCAATATGATATATTATTGACATTCAACATTCACTACTAGGGATGATATTAGCAGGTCATCATCAGTGTTAAACCAATTGCAATGTTATTTCCTAAAGTGAAAGTTATCTCTCTGGCTTACTTTCATTGTTAGTGAGAAACTAATGAAAAGAACACTGTTTATCTGCTATATAATTTGATTAATTACCTGACTTCAAAAAGAGGTTCTGATAAGAAATAGGACTAGAACAGTAACTTTGTTTTAGAAACTATCATTTAACTTCTGCTTTTCCACAATTAGCAGTGTCCTGATGCATTCTGAAGGTCAATTCAAAAAACCCTTGTCAGAAAGCAGAATCACTGATTTTTCACATTCATTTTAGAATTTCTATTTGCTGGTTAATATAGATGTATTGGTGCTGTTGATTCATTATAATATTAAATTATCAATTGCCATGGCAAATCTCTAGAGTAATATAGTAATACAAATAGTAGTACTAAAGTGTAATGTCCTCCTCTCTGGATACCAAGTTTTTCTTTATGAAATGAAGTGAGAAATATAGAATTAGATAGAAACACTAATGTCTTAATTTGTTACAGAAGCTTTAAAATAAAGCTTTATAAATTGAGAGACCTCATAGGTTAATGATGAACTTTTATATTCTGCTATGGGTAGCATACACTAAAATCATATCCATTTTCATTTTTTTTAGCATTTATCTTTTTTTTAAAGATTTATTTTCATTTATTTAAGCATAGAAGAACTGGTGTGTATGCCAGACGTGCGGGGGGCGGGGGGAGGGGTGTGTGAGAGGATTCACCAGGACAGAGTGGGGAGCAGAACAGGTGAATCTACTGAAATACACTGCTGAGGGGAGCAGGGGTTGAGACTGGAGAGGTCTGCTGCACCATGTGGGTTAGCTCCCTGGGCAGGGATCAAACTCATGCTTCAGTGGCTGCTGATGGCTTGATAGTGCTGAGACTTAACCCCTTGCACCACTAGGGAGGACCGACAGCACATTATCTTTTTTATGAAATATCTATTGTTGCATTATATTTAATGTTTGAACCCACAAATATTTTAGGTGTACTTTTAATAGCGGGGCATTTATATTCTGTCTTAGATTTATTTCTGTACTCTATTTTTCTTATCCCAATCAACCTTGAGTTTACTCAAATATTAATGTAATTGAAAATTTTTAGAGTATTATAAGCTTTTAAAAGATCATTTTTATAGGACCTTCCTGGTGGCACAAAGGGTTAAGTCAGTACTAGCAAGGTTTCAGCAGCCATGACAGCACCAGTTCAATCCCCTCCTGGGGAGCCGACCCACATGGTGCAGCAGACCTCTCCTGTCTCACCCGCCACTCCCCTCAGCTGTGTATTTCAGTACACCTGCCTGTTCTGCTTCCCACTCTGTTTCTAGTGAATCCTCTCACCCCCACATCTCTGGCCTAGACTTCAGTGCTTGTATGCATAATAAAAATAAATCTTTAAAAAATCATTTTGATATATGGTAGATGATTGTCATGCATCTTATACAAAAATATGCATTTTGGCAGGCTTAAAATATTAATAGTCATTCTAATAAATTCTGTGGAGGAGGCACTAAATTATGAACATTTTCAATATGTCCATTTTTATTTTTAATTCACAGAATTATAGATTTAAAGCAACCCAAATGTTATCTTTTAAAAAATTGCTTACTGGTTAAATTGTAGTATTTTTCTCTACGTTGTGTGCTTATGAATAAAAAAATATATTTTATAGAGTTGTATTTTGTGGTAGACACAAAATAATTTTAAAATATCCCTAATGCAATATCTATTTTCTCTTTTTAATTAAAAAAGTCACCTCATTAATGTGTAGACGTTATTCTAATTCATTAAAATTTATTTTTATATTTATTTAAGCATCTACTGTACATGACAAAATAAATTTCTGTGGCTGCATTTTATAATTTTTCCATTGTAAGGATATTGCACATTTAATGTATTTTCTAATGACAAAAGGAATGCCTTTTAATTCAAGTGTAGATTTAAAAACACATTAGACTATTTGTTTTCATACAACCTGCTTGGTTTAATGAACATGATGTGACAAATATAAAGTGTATATATAATTACATCAAGTGTAACTTATAATAAAAAGAATAGTTGAGCCCTTTCATGTGAAACTGTTTGTCTTTCTGGGAGTGTTACCTGGCTATATTAAAAATAAATTTTGTATCACTTGTAATTATATAATTGCTAAGCGAACATACAATTTAAGGCCAGCCATTATCTCATGACAACATAAATACATAGACAATAAAATATAACAAAATTTATTATTAGGTTTCATGCACGTTTTTTCTAATTTCTCATGTCCTCATTCTTACATTGAATGGCAGATTGTATGGACTGGTATCCTGCTTTTAAGAATGAAATCCACTTAATTGTAAAATTTTCAAGTGTAAATTTACATATTATTGTTTCTTACTACACTTGTTTCTCAATAGACCACTTTCTCCTTTTTTAATTGAAATTATGTATTAGTTTATTTACATGATAAATATTTGTATGGTTTATGGGTACAGGTTCAAACTCTTCAAATGTATGTTACTATACCACACCCGCCACCCAAAAGCACTCACAACCCTCTACCATCTTAAGTCACTGACCTTTATCCTCTCTCTGCTCTCCACCCTTCTATTTTTATATTCCCGTGGACTCATATAGTCAGATTACTAAGGTTTGTTTATGACTTGGTTTTGTCTGTTCTTTTGCTTAGTTTCCTTATAGTCTTCACATGAAGGAAATGATCCATATTTCTCATTCTCCTTCAGACTTATTTCACTTAGCAAAATCCCTCCAGTTCCATCCATGTTGTGGCAAATGGCAGGGTTCATCTATTCTTATAGATGAATATTCCATATATGCCATATCTCTTTTATTCACTCATCTTTCTCTGATCACTTAGGTTGCTCCTGTAACTTGGCTATTGTAAACAATGCTGCAGTGAACATAGATGTGCATAAAGCCTTTCAAATTTGTGTCTTTGCGTTATTCAGGCAGATGCTTAGGAGTGGAATTGCTGGGTCATATGGTAGGCAGATATTTAATATTTTGAGATGCCTCCATATTAAAAATCTATAGTGTATGAGGGTTCATTTTTCTCCACATCCTCACCAACACTTGTTCTGGTCTTTTTCATATGGACCATTCTCACAGTGTGAAACAGTATTTCGTTGTGGGTTTTATTTGAATTTCCCTGAGTATAAATGATGATGAAAATTGTTTCATGTTCCTGTTGGCCATTTGTATGTTTTCTTTGGATAAGTGCATATTTAGCTTTTCTGCTCATTTTTTAAATTTGGAACATGATTCTTTCAACATAAATATATTTTAAAATATAGAATCTTTAAACACATTAAAAATGTTTCTAGTATATATCTCATTTCTATGCTGAGTATCCTTAGAGATTTTCATGAACATCAAACAGTTAAAGAGTGATGAATAATGACAAG